CTGACGAGATCCTCGATCTCGTTCGACTTGAAGATGATCCAGGTAATCTTGGGCAGCTTGGTCAAGTGCTCGTGCGTTTCATTATTAATTCCGAATATAATATATGTTGTGATTTTCTTGCAGAGGTGCCCAGCTTCAATATCCCTCCGAGGAAAACCCCACTGAAAAAGAAGACGGGGGCTGTCGCCGGGTCGGGCAGTGACAAGGCCGATGGATCGGTGGGTCTCGACCAGAGCCTCTACAGCGATCGCTACCACGGCAGACTCCGCCGCCTCCTCCACCGCCGTCCAAGGAAATGCCCCAGCGGCCTGAGAAGCAGCCTTCGCAGCCGCAACAACAGCAACAACAGGAGAAGCAGCCTCCTCAGCCACCAAAGCAACCGGGGCAAACTTCCCAGAACCCTCAACCAAAATCCCTTTCCTCTTCGACCACCAAGTCTTCGACCTCCTCCAAGGTCGATGATCGTCAGAAGGCTGCGGACCGTCAACAGAAACCTGGCGACCGTCAGAAGTCCACCGATCGTCACCACCAGGTCGATGATCGTTCAGCGAGAACTGACGACCGTCAAAAGATCGACGGCCGCCAGAAAATCGATCATCGGGCTCCCCCTCCCAAAGACTCCGCTTCTTCCAAAACCATGGGCAAATCCTCTGAGCTCCACTCCTCCTCTAAGACCCCAGCTTCCGAAAAGCCTCCCCTCGATCAACCATCTCTCAAGACCCCATCTGTCGGCTCGACCAAGGCATTGGTCGAGTCTGGCAGCAACATTAATACCGGGCGTGAGACAGTGCTGGGCAAGCGGTCCCGCACCGACCAAGGCACGGTCGTCTGGAAGCGAGGGCACGACAGTTATCTTCCTCCCGACCCTCTTGCTCCGAAGCCGACGTCCTTTATGTCGGCGTCCACAAATGAGGTGGCCGAGCGCCTCGAGGGCGTTCTCCTCGGGGACGACCGCAAGAAGCTTGGCCCCACATTGCCTGAGTTTGGGGATCAATTTGTTCAGTGGATCGCCCAGGTATTGTTTTCCTCACATTTCCCTGTCTTCTTTCCTATGCTTCACGTGTTGCACAGGTTCTGAACTGCACCCCTTTTTCCCGATTGCAGGGCTTGGTCCAATTTTTGCCCGCAGCGCAAGAGGCTCGTGGCAGCTCTGGGAAGTCTCTGAAAAGTCTTGAGAGCACCATCCGGTTCTTGCAGGATAAGAACTCCACCCTTGTCAAGCATAATTCCCAGCTCCGCGAGGCCCAAGTGGAGCAGAAGACTGAGTTCGACGTCAAGCTTCAATCCCTTGATGAAGAGCTCAGCAATAAAAGTAGGGCTCTCGCGGAAAGGGATGCTGCCCTCGCGGCTAAGGAGGCGGCCATAGCAGAGAAGGAAGCTGCGCTGAAAGACAAGGAGGCCGTGCTCGAGCAAGAGCGAACTGGTCGAGCACAAATGGAAGCCGCTCGGGCACGGGCCGAGGCTGCTCGAGTGCAGGCAGAGACGGCACTAGCCAAGGCAGAGGCTACTCGGGCCGAACTGGAGGCCATTCTGGCCAAAGAGAGGGCTGCCCACGCTGAAGAGAAGCAAAGATATGCGAATGCCACTGCCCTTCGGGCTAGGCAGATGCTTTGGGCAACCACAACTGGGCAGCTCTTCCTCCGCGAACATCGTGCGCAAGTGGTGGCTGACTTCATGCAGTCACCACAATTTTTGAAGGAGGTTCAAGATTTCGGGGTTGATTGCTTTCGGTTCGCCCTCCAGAAAGCCGGCGAGCAGATCGCCGAAGATGATTTTGAGCAGCTCGACCCCGGAGTTATATGGGATGCCTTACCAAAGGTTCCCTCTAGCTTCCACGGGGATCCTACTCTACCTCTCGAGCATGAGTGGTGGTCGGGTCAGCTCGAAAGACCCTAGGCCGATCGGAGATTCTGAAGAAGACCTTTGCTCTGCCCGATGATGCTACTCCCCCGGCTGCCATGTTGGTCGCAATGGCTGAATCTATTCGACGACGCCCACTTAATGAAGCCTGCGATTTGACCTCTGGCACTGGTCCCCAGGTCGACCCGAACGCCTGCTCGAGCAATGAGGACTCGACTGCTGCCCCTCCTCCTCCGTAGAGTAGTATTGTATTTTCTAGTTTTCATTTGTATCCAATTAAATTTCTGTAATGTATGTACTTCTTACGATCTCATGAACTTCTTGAAATGCAAATGCTGTGATTGGGTTATTTCTATCTTTGTCTATGCTTGTGATGATCTGCTTCGGTGTGTTTGTGTGATTTCTTAGCCAGATCACTTAGGGAAGCTTCTATGCTGCTAACATATATTCCTTCTTGTAATTTGTACTTTCCGTGTAATTGTGCGCTTTGAACATATGCTCTCATGATCTCCATCATGACGGGCTTTCCATCGTGAACACCTGCCCACCTTCTCAAGGGTGGTCGTAACATACGACCACCGAGCCTCGTGGCCCTAATCATGGTAGATTTTTGCTTGAACGCATGCCCACCTTCAAAGAGGTGGTCGTTACATACGACCATCCAGCCTCATGGCCTTAATCATGATGGGTTTTGTGCTCGAACGCATGCCCACCTTCCAAGAGGTGGTCGTTACATACGACCATCCAGCCTCATGGCCTTAATCACGACGGATTTTTTCTTTGAAACGCATGCCCACCCTCAAAGGGGTGGTCGTTACATACGACCATCCAGCCTCATGGCCTTAATCATGATGGATTTTTTCTTT